GGTTGTACAGTAACCCCTTGCTTAAAGGTGTAGTTATGTTCCTGAAAGATGTTATTTTAAGCAAAACCAGGTGACGCAAATCCAGTTTCCCCATAAGAATGAAGGTAAATGTGTGGGAGGGGGCATTAAGTTGCAGGGAAATTTTTTTCAGCAGACATATATACGTATACAGTATAAGTTTTAAACAACTTAGTCCTGTACTCAGCTATAACAACGGCGAAGCTTGTTTGAGGTGGAGGTGTCAGGGGATGGCATATTCCCCAGGGAGTGTCTTGCTACGAAATGATAAGCTAGCACTCAGCTGAGTGGTAATGTAGCCTCACACCCTCAAGGCAGCCTAGACTGAGACAGGAGGGAGGAAGCACAATAGACTCAGGGCAGTGGTTGCAAACACTTCCCTGCAGAAACTGAACCTGATGATAAACCCACTCTAGCCCACCGGTGCGCACCACTCTTGCCTTGGGCTGGCCAGACAGACATGCATTGCCCCTTCGAGTACACTGCCCTTGTAAGTAGACCAGGAAGTCCAGACTCAAGAATCTGTAGCTGTGATTTCCTGCTTTGTGGAGATGGGGTGTAGAGTGGGGAGTTTTGATGGGGGAGGCAAAGAGGATTCTTTGACACCAGCACCCTTCTTTCTCCCCCCTCAGCCCCTGCACAGCAAGCAGGAGGCTCCCGGGAGCAGATCAAGGGAGCTGATGGGGGGAGGAGGGTTACCAGCCCACCCTGGTTCCAACCCCCCACAAGGGCAGGCTGCTTTTCTAGAAAATCCTGCAAGTAGTGGACAAAGAAGGCAGCCAAATAACAACACTACAAGGAAGTATACTGCACAACTTGAAATGAGCATGTGTTCTAATAGAAAAGCAAGATAACCTGGGACAGTGTTACATGAGGAGTTACTGTAAAGCTAATGGGTTTCCGCAGCTGGAGACCGCTAGGCAAGACAGAGACTCCAGCTGAAGTAGAAGCAGCATAGTCTATGTAGACACCGAAACCTGCCTGGCTGGGTGGATTATGTTTTCATTAAACGCAGGTGATTTTTAAAAGGATTATTTAATTGTATGCTACATTTCTGAGAGCAAAGTGTCACTAGAAATGCCAAAATGAGCAATTGTAGGCAGCTTCCCCTATACAAGATGGTTTCAGGTTTGGGCTTGAAAGGGCCGATCAAAGCTCATTGAAGCCCACATGAAGATGCCTATTGACTTCAGTGAGCTTTACATCAGGAACCTGCTACGTTTGCCTGGTGCATTCCAAATGTTTTCCCTTCTCTACCATGTATCAGCCAATCTAAGCACTGGGGTTGCACGTGTTATGCAGACCATTCCTATCCAGCCGGAGCAGTTTCCAATGACTAAGGATGATTTGCCTTATTCCTCTGCAGTACAACTTCAGTAACAGAGGGAGCCTGACTTTCGAGCCGTTGACCCTGGTTCCGATCCAGACTAAAATGATCAGTATCCCTTTACTGACGCAAAAAGAGGTAAGGGAAGTAGTGGATGGAGAGGAGCTGACGTATTCTAAAGGGCCAAAGGATCCTGGTCTCCCCTTCATCTCTCAGTAGGGCTACCTTGCGTCTGACGGTGATGTGACTTTGGCAACTCTCCTACACTCATCTCTGCTTTTCCTCTCTTCTTACTCCCTATGTCAGTGTTTCCCAAACGGGGTTCCGCAGACCGTCAGAGGTTCCACGAGAAATCGCGGAATAAATAAATAAAAATTTTTGTTCTTACAATGTAAGCTAACATATATATATACACACACTAGCCAATAGCCCGTCATAAGACAGGATTTTCGGGTCTCTCCTCCACATCCTATACCCTTTCTATCTTGCTCTTCTCTCCTAAGCCTCCAGTCTCTTGCTCCGTCTCTCTCTTTCCTCCTCCTCCTGCCTCCCGGCCCAGCTCTCCTCCATCTTCTGCCTCTCTCTCCCCATCTCTCTCTTTCTCTTCTCCTCCCACTCCTGCCTCTCACTCTTTTTCTCTTCTCCTCCTCTTCCTGCATGGGGAACGTGGAGCCCAAATGACCACTTGCACTGCTTGCTCCCATGCAGTGGCCTGGCTGAGCAGTGGCCAGGGCGGGAGGTGAAGGACAAGGGCGCCACCCAGAGGCAACACCAAACGCTACAGCATTACAGAGTCACAGACATTGGGCTACTATGTATATGATATATAACAGCTCTTTACAAATAAATTTTCTTGATAATAATTTAGCAGTACAGGCAGTCCCCGACTTACGTCGGATCCGCAGTTACGAACGGGGCTGCCCCGGAGGACACGGACTGCGGGACCTCGTGGTCCTGCCACCCGTGTAATCCGGGGCTTTCTCCGCATCTCCCTGGTCTGCAGACCAGGAAGACGCGGAGCAAAGCCACGGGGAAGCCGGCAGCGGGCCAGCCCAGACACC